CATGATAATGTGATAGCGAGAATTTTTACCTCTACGGAGATATTGAAAAAGTCCATTCCGCGATATTATATGAAGACATTACATATCTATCAACAATGATGGTTTCAAGGTGCAACGTATTCGTCAAGTTAATATGGCTGATTTGTTTATCAAATTTATCTACCAATGATCTTTTGAAGATGGTGCACAAGATTGGAATGCGAAGAATCAAAGATGTGAATTGATTGTTTCATTAGGAGGAGCTAATACGCGTTGTACTCTTTTTACCTTATAAGGTTTTGTCCCACTAAGTTTTTCTTGCAAGGTTTTTAACGAGGCAACCGAAAGACGTATTGTTAGATATGTGTACTCTTTTTTCCTTCACTAGAATTTTTTTCCACTAGGTTTTATTTTAGTTAAGATTTTAATGAGGCATATTATCTGTTGAACAGAAATTCAAAGGGGAGTGTTATAAATAGTATTTCATTTGTGGTAAATGTCTATATTTTAGAGAGATTTTAGAGTTTGTTTCTTTGTGGCTAAGTCACCTATCCTCTATAAATAGACTATAAATAAAGAGGTTCTTTTCTATTGTAATTGACCCCAAATCAATAAGAATTCTCTCTCTACTTTTTTCTACACTACTCTTCTTTTTCTTTTATTGTTTTATAACACATACCATTTACGTGCTTATTTAATTTGGAATTGCCACATCAGGCGGTAAATAATTAATCTTGGTAACAATTTAGTCGGATACTTTTTACTTTTGGTTCTCCAATTGGCAATAGTTTATCCTTTGAATTTCTTTTTACCTCTCCGGTACAATATGCAAAATAGAAGGATGAAAATTTATCCGAAACCAGTAAAAGTTCGGGCGGCTCGCCTTTAATCACAGTTATACATCAACAGCAGCATTATCTTGCTTGCTTAAGCTGGTATTGCCAGATCAGGTGATAATAGTTAATCTTGGTAATAATTTAGAGTCAGTTGAGCTGTAACTTTGCTTTCTTCAACAATGTATTGTTTCTCTTTGAAATTTCATTTTTACCCCTCTGCTACAGTGGCGGATGTAGCTACCAAGCTATGGGATCAACTAAAATAGTACTCTAGTAACTTTTATATAGAGTATAGATATATATACAAAAATTACTAAAATTTTAATAAATATTACATTTCGCATAAGCTTAAAAGTGTACTATATTCAGCAATAAAACTTTAAAGATTGGATCCAGTGCCCGCTCAACCCCAGGCGACTAAAGCGAAAGCTTTAGGCCCCAAAAATAGAGGCCCAAAAATTTATAACATATGTTTTATTTATAAATATAAAATAATTACTACTAATAGTTATGATTAATTATAAGAATTTATCTTCAATCATTTACTGATTTTCTGCCAACTTCCAACTAAGAGGTTGTGAGTTCGAGTCATCCCAAGAGCAAGGTGGGGAGTTCTTGGAGGGAAGGATGCCGAGGGTCATTTGAAAACAGCCTCTCTACCCCAGGGTAGGGGTAAGGTCTGCGTACATACTACCCTCCCCAGACCCCATTAATGGGATTATACTGGGTTGTTGTTGTTGTTGTTGTCGTTGTTGTTGTTACACAATCATTAGTCACATAGTTACATATTTTATGTTATTTTTTAATAGATGTGCTTGATGTAATTATGAATATAAGTGGTGGCAAATTAAATCTGCAGCATTTTTATATTTATTTTACTCTAATTTGAATCACTTTTGTTTACAACTTTAGTTTTGTATAAATTTTTTTTCCAGTTTATTGTAGACACGTTTCCAGTAAATTAGCTCATGAAAAAGCTCCAAATTAGAATATAAGTATTTAGCATATGATCGTTGCTTTGGAAGGCCATGATCAAAATTATAATTAAAAAATCTTATTTAAGATCAACAAAGTTTCAATAAAGATTAAATGGATTAGTTACATTATTAATTGGAAAAAAATTACTCTATAAAAATTGATCATAAAATAAAAATAAAGCAATTTTGCACCGGAAAAAGCTAAAAAATAAACTTCAAAATGAAAAATATGAGAATTTTATTAAATAAAGATTTAGCTTTAGGTCACCTACTCTTTTGAACCGCCTCTGATTGGATCCACCAAATTAAAGTCTTGAATTCGCCTATTGAAAGATAGAATAATGGAAAGTTATTCTAAACCAGTAAAAGTCATGAGGTATATCGTTTTTAATTGCCGTAGCGCATCTAATTAACTTTATATACTGACAATGACAATGTAACATCAGGTGGTAAATAATTTATCTCTATAAGAGTTTAGAGTCAGTCCAGCAGCCTAGATCATTTAAGAAATTAAGGAAGTTGTCCGTAACTAAAGTATGTGACAGCACTTAGACCTCATCGATCATCTGAATCATTTAATGAATAATTACTATAAATGCATGTGTCCCAATTTATATTCTGCAGTCGAGACTAATTGTGATATCTTTCTACTTCTTGACTCAAAGTCTACGCCCCAAATCCACTACTCTTCGTCTCCCACTTCAGTAGCTTCCCATTTAATGCTAGCTATATATGCATGTAATTGAATTTTTAACTCTTATTGAACAAGAAACATATCCTTATACAAATTAAGTAAGATAAATGTTAAGCATTTAAATAAAAAAGAAAATTAGATGCAGTGGCGGAGCTACATGTAATATGAAGGGATCTCAGTGATTTCCTTTGAAAATACTAGCTAGTATGTTTGAATAATTGTTGTATCCACCTAGGGTGGCAAACATACGGGTCGAGTTGGATATGGACGGGTCGAAAACGCGTAATGTAAAAATGGATAAAATATTCGACCTACCATATTTTATACGGATAGAAATGAGTTAAACGGTGGATAATATGAATACCTATATTTTTCATGACTTCTTGACTCTCATTACTTTTGGGAGAATTTCTAGTCTCCCAAATTTAAGGAACCCGCAATTTGATATGCAAATGTAAAAATTAAACTCATTGGTTGTCTATTGAGTATTCATTTTTAAGTAGATAATATGGATCTTATTTATATTTAATTTATTTTTCAAAAATTCATTATCCAGCCTAATTTCTTAGTAAATAATATGGATGAATATTTTATTTATTATTTATTTTGCCATCACTACCTATTATAAAGAAAGTTTGTTACATAATGACAAATTAAAAGCGATTCAAAAATTATTTTAAATTACCTAGGGGTCGCATTCTTGCATCTCTTCCTGTTTAAAGTTTCTCACTCTGCCACTAGTTAGATGACTTGTTAAAGCTGGTTAGTAACATTTTGCAGTGTCAGTTAATATTTGAATTTATCTTTAAATATCATTCTATTGCTTTTGAAGTATTTCTCTACGAGTAAATCCAAATTTCCCCTAAAAGTAAAAGTGCGAAACAATATTAGTATTTCCAGCTTTTAGTTTTTATTAGAACTTTCGTTATCAAAGCTAATCATTTTTTGAACTAACGTATCCCCTGACGCTTATATAACTGATTGTCTTAAAAAGTATATACTTCCACATAAACAGAAGATACAAATTGAGAATTAACATGGTGGCCTGTTTTTGACAATTTTATGATCATCTCCCATTCTTTTCCTTCTCTCATTTTCTTTCTCAAGGAAGTATTAGATAATCGGTTAAAAGTATAGAGAAACCTAATGCGGAATGCTTGTGGAATTACGTACGTACCCTTTATGGCAACATGATTTTCTTAAGTTCTGGTCCTTGCCAGCATTTGCAATAATGAGAAAGGGGGATTTAATTTATAGTTGGAAGTTGACATATAACAAGATTGATAGCCATATTCGTATATCGTTATTGCATTTCCAAATATTAATTGAATACAACTACCCGATAATTGATTGTCGCCCCCTATTCTTCAAGTGCCACAAGACTATTTTAAAGAAAAATTTGTTTTCCATTACGTAGCGGATCGCGGAAGAGAAAGGAAAAAGAGAAATGAGGTAATGAGAATCGAACTAATGAGCGGTTTTCACAGATACCATTAGCTAGGTGTCGTTTGGTTGGTTTTATTAGGAGATTTAATCTCCACATATAATCTTGCATTATTAACTCCAATACAACATTTGGTTACACTTCTTATTCTTTTAATAATAATTGCATAAGTTATGTGAGAATTTATGTATTATTTTATGTGGGGTAAAATATATAAAATAAAATATGAGTACTTTTAATAATTCATGGATTAAATTAGTACAATGACAAAACCAACCTTCCTAATAGCAAACATCTAACAAGAAGTAATCCTTCCATTACAATTCATGTATTAACTAATACCAAGCATTATAATTTCTACATTAATTAATCCCCTCATAAATTCTTGCATTACTAATCTCTACCTAACTTGTCTCTAGACCAAATGACCCATTAGATTATAAGTTTTGGTGGTTAGCACAATTCTATTCAATTTCTCCATTATCCTTTTTTGGGGAGGGAAAGAGAGAGACATTTAAGAAAACAAAAGGATAAAATTAGTAGATAATTTCTTCTCATTTGCTTAAGTTTTGGTCGGGCACAAATTATACTCGATTTTGCGCTAGTAAGAGATAGCAGGTGCCCGATAAAATATACACGCAAGTTGAGCCTTTCACCACTGTTATGAAAAAATAAAAAGACAAGAAAAAAAGAACAACCTTACATACATTTACTTATATATATATATATATATATGCGCAGCCGAAAACCCAGAATTGTGCAGCAAAAAATGCAAGAAGCTACATTTTTCAAATAGAACTTGATTAACCATGGGTTCATTAATTACTTCCTCACACAATGGAGCTTTAATATCAAACCACAAATCATGTTCCAAATCTTTTAATTATGCGTAGAAGAATATACTAGTTTGAACCTCATAATTATGATGAGAGATCCAACTGACGCACTGTCAATACACAACTAATTAGAAAATAGACATATTTCATTTTTGCATATANAATAAATAATGTATTTGCAAATCTAAGCAATCGTATCAGGAATGCTTTCAAAATAGGTACTACTTTGTAGTAATAATTGAATAAAAAACTGTAACATGTGATGCGTATGGTTGAGAAATCTTTGCTTGACTCACAAAAACTTCATTTAAAGATTGCCAAAGAGGGAAAAAGAAAACAAATGGTTACTCAGTAGTAGTGCTATATATAACACGCCACCATGCACACACGATTTAGGATAAAGGCATTAAAAGCTGAAGCAAATTCTTCTTTCTGGTATGGCTGCCACTACTAGAGATGCTTTGGGTGATGAAGAAACCCAATTCTCCTCTATACCAAAGCAAGTGTGCCTTCTTTTCCCAATTCCTAAGTCTGAACATCTTGTCTTCTTGTTTTTCTATCTCTTTCTTTTGTCCTTATAATCTACTATTGAATACTCCATTTTATCAGGATAGATGAAGAAAACAAGAAGAAAGCTCCTCTTACACTGTCGCAAAGGCTGGGCTTGCCTGACTTCGTTTCTCCGGATGTCAGTATTATATATTTTATCATTATTCAACCTTTTCAAAGATTTACTAAAATGAAAATGCTATACTATATGTGCATAGCTCTAATAACATTTAAATTTCTTGAGTCATGAATCATAAGTTTCATAGGCATCTGAATTTAGTCCTGAATTCCTATAATGACAATTATTTTGGGACAATATTTTTGAGTTAAAGCGACAATTAAAATGGGACAGAGGGAGAAGTAATAAGTGTTAAATTTAGAATTTATGGCTTGAACCATAGAATCTAACAGTCATGAATCATCATAATGGTAATGTTGTTATAACTGTCATCAAAAGAAGTAGTACCAAATATGACGACCCTAGAAATATTTGAAGTAGCTAGAGTTGTAACTCTGCATACCTATGGAGAAGTTAAACGTGACAATGGTATATCAAGTAGTGTATTTTATTAACATTTTAATTTCTTTTTAAATTTTGATTATAGGTATGGCGAGCATCGGTGGGAGAGCTTCTGGGCACGGCAGTTCTAGTTTTCATGTTGGACAACATAGTTATTTCTACCCTCGAAAGTGATGTTAAAATGCCAAATTTAATCATGTCAATTCTCGCTGCAATTACGATCACCATTCTACTCCTTGCCGTGTTCCCGGTGTCTGGCGGCCACCTCAATCCGGTCATTTCCTGCTCCGCCACCCTTGTCGGAATTATCTCCATGTCAAGAGCCATAATTTACATTGTGGCACAGTGTATCGGCGCTGCTTTAGGTGCACTAGCGCTCAAAGCAGTGGTCAGCAGTAGTATTGAACAAACTTTCTCACTTGGTGGTTGCACTCTCACGGTAATATTACCAGGCCCAAATGGCCCAATTACTGTGGGCCTAGAGACGGCCCAAGCCTTTTGGCTAGAGATCTTTTGCACATTTGTATTTTTATTTGCTTCAGTTTGGATGGCCTATGATCATCGTCAAGCCAAGTCACTAGGGCTTGTCACTGTCATGTCCATCGTTGGGCTCGTATTAGGCCTACTTGTGTTCATCTCGACCACCGTCACTGGAAAAAAGGGGTACGCCGGAGCTGGGATGAATCCAGCGAGGTGTTTTGGAGCAGCTCTTGTTAGAGGAGGCCATCTCTGGAATGGACATTGGATATTTTGGGTTGGGCCTGCAATTGCTTGTTGGGCCTTCTATTTGTACACTAAGATCATCCCACCACAGCATTTCCATGCAGATGGTTACAAACATGATTTCGTTGGCGTTATCAAGGCTTTGTTTGGATCAGACGCTTGATGTTCATATTTATGAGAAATAGATGTATTCTTGCTCGAAAGTGCTCAATATTGCTTATGATTATAAAATTGTGTAAAGAAACAAAGTAGTAAGTTGAAAAAACAAGAGGAAGATATATAAGTTGATCAGATGTTTTGTGATTCTTGCTTCTTCATTTAGTTTGAGGTGTGACATATATTTGTCACAATATGTATTAACTTTCTCAGAATACTCAGATACTTTGTTGTTATCTAAACTTTCTTAATATCATATTCAATGATGAGATTAAATAGAGCATACGACTCCAAACTGTCACCTTTTTGAGTTGGACAGAGATAAGTATATAAATTTTGTTCACTATAATGCTTAAATCATAAAAATAAATAAGAATAGAAACCTGGAAAGCGATTCAAACTTAAGTCATAAACTATATACAACAATGTGAATGTTGTTACACTACAAAGAAGTTTCCAACGCAGCATTGCTCATCTGCATCAGAGTGAATAATTGAGCAGAAACCTTACTATAAAAGTAATAAGTATATACATAAATATTTATACACACGCAGAGAAAGTAAAGGTTGCAATAACAAATTGAAACCGTAGTCTGTAGAGTTCTCCAATATTGCTTATAATCTAGTGTTATCACTTATCAATTAAAGTTTTCCACACAATAAGTTTAAGTTCGTTTCTTACTATCTACATTCCTCTCATCGCTTCTTTCCCACTATTAGAAAAAAAATTAAAAGAAAACAAGCGTAAATATAAGGTTTAGATGCTCAACGATGGGGTCAGAGACGATGACTGAGCAGCTGCCCGCAATAACTCCATCAAAATAGACCATTTGTTCTTAATCTCCAGATAAAGAATTTAGTTGTTTATTGTGACTCCCATATTTGCCTTACCAATTTGCGCATGTCCATTTGAATCTTTCTTCTAAAGTGCACACGTCCCTGAAGTCGTACAAGTTGATCATGTGATTCTGAGGTCATTTTAATTGATCATCTTTGTATTCTGGTGCAAATTGCTATATGATCCAATAGTAATTGGTTACATTCTTTCCTGGACCTCTTTGCCAATTGTCACATGTGACTCGAAAGATTTGTTATTGATGCATTGCATTTGATAATACTAATCATGATACTAATTAAAAATACGCGAAAGCAACAAATAGACAAAATAATAACAAGATAAGATAGCAAGGATCAATCTAGAAATACAAAGGGAGGAAGAAACTTAGAGGAAAGAAAGGATAATCTAGCAACTAAAACACATTTAATTGCTAGAATTAAATCCAAGGGAGAGAGATATGAACTCATACATTAGATAATCACACATGAATCTATCCAAGAGAGGTTCAAAGACAGATGCAAGAGAACTTTTGGACTATCTGATTACTTGGCTTCATGCCCAATAAGGAAAACTTGAAGATTGGGCCGCTATTATTTCATTTGTACATAGTCACACATAAATGTATTAGTTGTATATGTATAGTTTAGGCTTATTTTGTAATAGTCACTCTTTTGTAAATGACCAGATATAAATAGAAAAAGGCCTGCTGGATATTTTATTTTTGGCCCATAACATTTCTCTCATTCTTCTGTGTTCTCGAACATTCCTCTCAGAATCCTAAATAGAATTTCTCCAAATCCAACTCGATTCAAGATGTTTACATGGTATCAAAGCATGGATCCTGATTGATCTCGTCACACTTAGTCGAGTGATGGTACCCTTGACGATTTTTGGAGAAAATTCAAAAATCGATTTTTGTATCTCAAAACCGATTCCCCTATTTCTTCAAAATTCCTTTAATTTATGGTCAAAACCTCCAACATCTTCATCGATTTGGGGATTTCTATTGTTGCTAAGTTGTTGAATGTTATTGTCGAAGCTAGGGTTTGTTGGAGTATTTTGAAGCTAGGATTTTTCAATTACGGTCTCCAGTCGTCTTCTCAATTTCTTGATTTTGGACATTGTCGCGTTTTTATTAAGGCCGTACTCTTTTCGGTTGCAAAAGAGCTTGGTAATATCGTAATTTTTCTAAAAAATCTACGATTTTAGAACCTGTAGAACTATTGATTGCTTCTCAAATTCTGAGAGTTCTGTCATCTGATATCTGTATTGGTATAATTTTGTGGTTATATCATGGGTAGTACTGAGGGTATAAGCAACGCTAGTGTAATCGATTCCTCTAATCCTATGTCCCCCCCATCCCTATGATATACCTGGGATTTCTTTAGTCCATACACCATTTTCTGGTACTAGTTTTGGCAGGTGGAAAATGAGTGTCATTGTGTCCTTATCTGCTAAAAATAAGATTGGATTAGTTGATGGCACTTGTCCCAAACCGGCGGACAGTTCACCACATATTAAACAGTGGAGCATATGTAACAACATGGTCATTTCTTCTTTGACCAGTTCAGTTTCTCCAGAAATTGCTAAAAGTGTTCAATATTCACAAACTGTTGAAAGTATTTGGGAATAGTTAAATAAAAGTTTTAGGACTGTAAATGGGACCAAGGTTTTTGAAATAAAGAAAGAGCTTGCTTCCACTATGCAAGGAGCTCTTGACATAGCATCCTACTTCAATAAACTTAAGAAATTATGGGATGAACTAAGAGTAATTCGCAATAATAAGGTAAATACATGTGCATGTCCCATTAAGGCTGAAATTCTGAAAGAGGAAGAAGAGGACAAAGTCCACCAGTTCCTTATGGGTCTAAATGACATATATGTTGGGGTTAAGAGTAACATATTAATGTTGCAACCACTTTCATCACTTGAAAATGCTTATAACATACTACTCCAAGATGAAAAACAAAGACAGGTTAATCCTGGTTCATAATTCAGTTCTGAGTCTGCATCTTTTAATGTGTCTGGTCTCATCAACAAGGCACCTATGATTCAGCCTCAGAGACAGTATAATCAAAGGGTAGATTTTGATCAGACTAAGGAAAATCTGAGTAATCTCTTTTGTAAGTACTGCAAGAATCCTGGGCACTTAGTTGATAAGTGTTACAAGCTTCATGGGTTCCCTCCTAATTTCAAGTTTACTAAAGGCAAGAGAGTTGCAGCTAATGTTACTGCAGAAAGTGAGTTCCCCACTGAATCCAACTCTCATCTCTCTAGCCCTACTCCTGGTACCAACAGTGGTGCTATTGTACATTATGAGGGTCAAAGATCTGGAGTGCCTGGTTTGACACAGCAGCAGTACACTCAGCTGATAAATCTTCTTCAGCAATCCCAACTATCTGATTCCATCTCTCTATCCAATCTCATGGCATCTACCAATTTTGCTGGTATATTGTTGTCTGATTCTTTAGGGTCTGGTTCTAGTTCTTGTATGCTGACACAAACCACTAACTTCAAAAAAATAATTTTGATAATTGACTCTGGAGCCACTGTCACATGACCTCAAATAAAGATGTCCTTTTTAACATAATACCTTTAATTGTTCCTTACCTGGTATTACTTCCAAATGGTTATAAGGTGGAAGTCACAAACACACGTTCTTACTCCCTAGATGAATCCATTACCTTGCACAATGTGCTTTATGTTCCTTCTTTCCATCACAACTTGATCTCTGTGAATAAACTAGTACATCAATTGTGTTGTATAGTTATGTTCACTCACATTGGATGTTTTATCCAGGACCATTTTCTAAAGAAGCCTTTGGAGCTTGGTAGAGTGGATGATTGACTCTACAAGTCTGAGTTGCCTTTAACATCTCTTCCACAGAACTCTGTTACTGAAAACTTTACTTCCTGCAGCTTATACTCTATTGATTCTAGTCACAATTCTACATCTGTAAATACTTCCATTTCTATTTGTAATAAAGCTGTATTAAATAATATGGACATTGTTTGGTATCAAAGACATGCACATGTATCTTTTGTGAGAATGAAAACTATTTCTGCTATTTATGTTTTTGCTAAACAATGCTTTCCTTGCAATGTGTCCCCTATGGGTAGGCAAACTAGATTGCCCTTTCCTAATTGTAGCATCCAGACTACTAAGCCCTTTCAACTCATCCATGCTGACACCTGGGGACCTTATCACACTCCTATTTATTCTAGTTCCAGATATTTTTTGACAATTGTAGATGACTTTAGTAGATCTACTTGGACTCACTTAATGGGGTCCAAGAGTAATGCTTTTTCTCTTCTAAAAGCCTTTGTTCTTCTGGTCAAAACTCAATTCAATGTACATGTTCAGACCATTAGGAGTGACAATACATTAGAACTTGGATCCAGTCACACAGCTATTTCCTTCTTTTCTGATAGTGGAATCATTCATCAAACCAGTTGTCCTCATACACCACAACAAATTGGGGTAGTAGAGAGAAAGCATAAAACTTTGCTTGAAGCATCTAGAGCGCTTCTTTTTCAGTCCAAAGTGTCACTTAGGTTCTTGGGGGACTGCTTGTTGACAACCACTTATATCATCAATAGACTATCTTCTAAATTGCTCAACAACACCTTTTGAAGTATTATATGGGAAGGAACCCTGTTATTCTCACCTAAGATCCTTTGGTTGCCTATGTTATGCAACTGTCCTAATTCCACAAAGGGATAAACTTCAACCGAGGGCTCTAAAATGTGTCTTTCTAGGATATTCTTTTGCCAAAATGGGATACAAGTTTTATTGTTTGGATCTGAATTCCAAACAATATGGATCAACCAGGTGTTGCTATGGATCAACTAGATCTGAATTCCTTATTGTTGCTATTAAACATGGTTAAAATTCTACTTTAGATATGAATTCCAAGTTGAAGGTTGATTCTGGGGAACTGTTTTCCCAGCCTGAGAGATACATGAGCTTAATTTGAAAGTTATTGTTCTTGACTCATACCAGATCTGACATTTGTTTTGGTATGCAACATTTAAGTCAGTTTTTGCAAGCACCCAGATTGCCTCATATGACTGTTGCCTTACATATGTTGAAATATCTGAAGGGCACCATTGATGTTGTGTTGTTCTATTCTAATTCTCCTGATTGCACTCTCACAGCCTATTCGGATAGTGATTGGGCAGCTTGCCCTGATACTCGCAAGTTTATTTCTGATTTCTGTCTCTTTTTGGGTGATTGTTTGGTGGCCTCGAAGTATAAGAAACAACCTGTTGTTTCCCTTTCATCAGTTGAAGTTGAATATATGGCTCTCAGTAAAGTGGTGGCTGAACTCACATGGCTCACCATTGCTAAGAATCCAGTTTTTCATGAGAGGACCAAGCATATAGAGGTGAACTGTCACTTTATCCGGAAGAAGTTGGGAGATAGTTTAATCCAGTTATTTCATGTTTCTACTTCCAATTAACTTGCAGACATCTTCACTAAGCTGCTTATTGGGTGCTTCACCATTCTTTCCTGTCCAAGTTGAAGGTGTTCTCCCCCTCCAACTTGAAGGGCGGTATTGGGCTATCTGATTACTTGGCTTCAGGCCCAATAAGGAAGACTTGAATATTGGGTCGCTGTTATTTTATTTGTTCATAGCCACGCATAAATGTATTAGCTATATATGTATAGTTTAGGCATTTTTGTAATAGTCACTCTTTTGTAAATGGGCCAGATATAAATAGAAAACGCCCGCTGGATATTTTAGTTTTGGCCGAAATCATTTCTCTCATTCTTCTGTGTTCTCAAATTTTCCTCTCAAAACCCTAACTAGAATTTCTCCAAATCCAAATCGATTCAAGATGTTTACAAGAACAATTCCCAAAATCTAGTAAATGAAATAAACGCTAAATGTACTATTTAAAGTACCTATTAACTAATAACAAAATGACTAAAACAACCCTTAGCTAACTTGATCCTTCAATTGGACTTTTAAGCTTGACCTTTATCCCTTTAAAGCACTCGGATGACTTAATATCATCTTGAAAGTTCCCCTTGCATTGAGTGTTGATGTGTGCGTTATCAAATCAGCTAGTCTTAAAGTACGGCATTAGATTTTTTTTGCGCCTAATCTTTGTTGTATAAGGATGAGTTATATACCTAACGACATTGAACATAGTTTACTTTCTCCCGATTTACACTAAACTTTGAGTGCAAAACATATATTTTCATATGCATATTTATTAATCATGATTATATATTAATTAATATGCATTGTTACTTTAATTTATAAATGTTAAGAAATTAGTTTGTTGTTAACACCAAGTGCAAATAAATAATTTTTCCATTACTTACTTGTATCCTCTTAATTTCTGTTACTAACATTCGCAACGGTTTGAGTTTATATCTTAAATAAGAAGACAACATCTAGTTAACATGAAAATATTAGTATGAAAGCAAAAGAGACTCAAAATTGACCGGCAATACTATGGAAGAATAAGTGGCCGATGCTCTCTATAAGCTAAAGAATTCATGCCATTGTAATTTTTTTATTGTAGAAGAAAATTATAGGAGGAGAAAACGGTAGAAAAGAAAAAAACATGAATATGTACACATACCTTCATCTGAATTTGAATCTTTAACTTTAGAATTATTTGAATTGTAAGATCTATCTTATTTAAATGAAAGAAGACGGTTGTAGATTCAAGTCTTACGACTGACATTATCAACCAAATACTTGCACGGTTGCAGTAATTAAGTTGGCGGTTACTGTAACAATGATCTAATTATAATGATTCCTCTGAAATGCATATAGATCTATTTAGTTTGAGTTTGAGCAAAGTTGATTGCTAATCATGATGTATATTGTTCAGTCTACATACACTCTAGTTGTATCTGAGCCGACTAACTTGATTCTGACTAGATTTTCCCCTAAAAACAATCAAATCTTTTCAAGAATTCTGTCAAATGACCATTAATATAGTTGCCATAACCAACGATTGAAAAACAATGAAGTGTTTTAGGTTCAGTCTTGAATTGTCAGAATGATCTCTCCCCACCACTATGCAGTGCAAAACTAGAGGGTTCAGCCAGTGTATATATAATGGACGATAACAACAAAAAGAATTTTTCGCTTTTGAAGAAAGATATAGTGAATTTAACCTGTTGTAATATGTAATCTTCCTTATTTTATCGATTACTAATTCCACTTTTTATGGACGGCTGCATGTAGTTATCGTTAGATCACTTGATAAATATAAAAGTTAAGCTTATAGAAGTTAATTATAAACTCTCTGAAGAATGGATTTACAGATTGCTAGGAAGCTGTCTATGGGACAATTATGACAGCAGTCCACACTACAAAATTGAAGAGGCCGAGTACTTAATTATATCTTCCGCCAGTTTCCGGACCTTTGAAATAGAAAAGGAAAAATCACTAAAAGTTAGAATTGTGTAATGTCTATGATGACTTTAGTAGAGTGGTGAAACTAATGAAGTAATCTTCACTGCATGGGATGGTAATTTTATTCAAACTACTCTTCTTCAGCCCAGTGTAATAAATGATCTTGAAACAGAGGATGTGAACAACAAATCTCCTGTAGGTTTCACTAATACAGACAACAAAATGTTCTTTTGGCACATCATTGGGAGTGGCAGAGATGCTTTCATTTCTGGGTGAAATCGTTCGTCCGAAGCTTGTTTTTGGCCTGAGCTATCCCGATTAAACCTCTTCCCATCTTTACGCAAAGAAATGAATTGAAGTTTCGAAGTGTGATGAAATGTATTAACTTGTTTTAAGAATGGAAGCAATCAAAATAAGTGGGTGTTTGTGTGTGTATATATAGGATCACACAAAAGCTGAATGAAGTTGGCAAACATATCAGGTGAAGTTGGTTTTGCAAAGGATCACATGGTTTTGTCTAACCCGTTTCAACACATCCTGTCCTACCACTTAAAATAACAAGCATATCACATTACATAAAAAAGTTATATATATACTGCTGTCTACACCTACTCTTCTTCCTTAATTTGTAGAGGCATTAATTGAACTTGGAATAGCATTATTTAGTGGCATCATCTTTGCCAATTTACCAACAAAGTGGGTAGGTCATCGAGTTCTTGACAATTAAGTCTTAAGCCTGCATAGAGGGAATGAATTAATGTTTCACTTGTTTATCAAATCTAGTACATTGAAATAAAGTATTCATACATGCACGTATGTGAAGTCAAACCTATCATCAAGAAATCTTCTCTCTTAGTTGTTGACTTGTTTCTTCATTTTAAAATTTTCTCTTTTTTTTTTCTTAGTCTTAAAATAGTAATCCACATTGACAAGTGGCACAGCATCTTGTCTATGTTACAATTTGACTTGGAACTTGATAAATTTTGAGTGGACAAACATGAAGTATCATACCTTTCAAATACTAGCTCACTTAGCTGAGTGAGAGCTCTTTCATCAACTACTCTGTAGCTATGCTAGTTAAGGCCAAGCTCTTTTTTTCACCTAAGAGTCAACAAAAATCAGCATTTCTAGTAGTGTAAATTTGACCCTTCCATTTGTTTGAAACTTTTTCAAAACATTAATAAATGATGCCTTCAAATAAGTTTATAAAATGATTAACATAACTTACCATATTTAAACAATATTATTGGATGTCTTTATTAGGTTCCTAGTCCAAATAGTCCAGAATGATTGAATCGCTAAGTTAATTCAAATGGTCCTTGGAAAGAATTTACATGGGTCTAATTGATTTAGTCTCTACTCTTATAAAGAGGGTCTATTGTCCTTTGTTATGAGACGTAGTAGGACATGCTGTCTTCCTCAACAACTGAATGGAGCAACTACTTTGACAATGGGTTGGAAAGATAACCCATGTTATGCTTCATGCATGTTGCTGTTGTCTCTCACCAACACCAACCAAATTCTCTTTACCACTAAACATCTGGATATGTATCACCTAACACTTACCATTTGCCTTTATTTACTTGCTGTAATAGGATTTTGAAAAAAACAAAACCTCTAAACCTCTAATGCTCAGCAAATTCCAAAATTCTAGTTTCTTCTCAACAAAATTCCATGTTCATGTTGCTGACTTGCTATGAACCTTAAGCACAACCAAGCTTGAGACATTATATATGTAAATGTACTAGACAGATATTTCCAACTAGATTTGTATTGAAATTTCTAATATTCTCTCGAGGAGTTTTGACAGTTATAGTGGTGAATAAAATCTACCATGAGATCAATTCTTCCTTTGAAGGTTATAAACTAATTTGCTCGGATTCGGGTGCAGGTGTCCGATACGGGTGCAGATCTAGAGGTCGGATCCAGGTAAGGATACGTGTGCGGGGATTCGGCTAAAAATAATTCAAATATCTAAAATTAAAAAATAAAAATATGTTTAAGTTATGAGACATTATGTGCAAAAGTTACAAGGTATTGCATGAAGGACAAAAATATTAATCAAGAGGAGAATCCCAAAAGGAGATAAAAGGAAAAAGACTAACATAGAAATTTATATTGATGTTTTATACTTAAATACCACACAAGAGAGGAGGGATGGTTTGTGTGGTATCCAATTTTTTGCGTGCACTGATTATAGAAGGACCTGGTTCTTCTATATGTTCCTTATACTATCGTTGCGGAATAATAAATGCAGAAAATACAGAAAATAAAGAACACAAGTATTTTTACCTGAAAAACACATGGCTCAAAAGTTGAAAAAACCACGACCTACTACCGAGTAGGATTTTTTCCAACACTTCACTAAATCACTGAGCCAAAAATAACGTTTCCAAAACTCTTGTAAACCTAAGGATTACCTCTAACCCTCTGTGGCAACCAGCCTCAGGCTGTTGCCACAAATTGAAGGCTTTGTAGGAGGAGTTTTCCTATTCTCAAGATCCAAGGAAAGTTTCCGGGGTGCATAGTAGTACGACCCCATTTCTTGCAAAGAATTCACACATTCCATGAAGCCATCCATCTCGTCATCGTCAAAGTTGAGCAAGACGGCCTCCAACATATCGCCCACATTAATCGTGGCACTTGTATCATCAATAATCACATCGGTCACCAAGTTCACGAAAGAACACACTTCATTGCAATTTGGTTGCCGTATAGATTTGCACACATGTAACAACATCTTTTCACGTGCTATAGTATCAATATGTGGAACCCCACGGATAACTCACGTGTTGTACGGACAACTCACGTGCTACATGGACAACTCACGTGCCCTAGTATTAATACCTCATAGACAGGCCCTCGGCCTCACTCAATCATCAACCTCTCTGATCTTTCGGGCTCTCGGAAGTCACAAAGATCGGCCCAAACAAAGATAACACCGTGTATCAACAAAAATCAAGAAGAGGCTGAGATATGATATGCAAGTAAAACCATGACTGAGTACAAGACATCAATCAGCAAGTAATTCAACAAGTACGCGACCTCTGCGGGTCCCAACAGTAATATCACATAGCCTAAGCATGATTTCTAACATGATTTGCAGTCAAATTTCTATAACACAGGGAGAACAGGTAATTAACAATAGTCTATTCGACTTTACAGTCTTACGGGGAGGACCAAGTCACAATCCCCCACAGTGCACGCCCACACGCCTGTCACCTAGCATGTGCGTCACCTCCAAAATAGTCACATCATACCAAAATCCGGGGTTTCATACCCTCAGGACCAGATTTAAAATTGTTACTTACCTCAAACCGTGCAAAATCCTACTCTGCAATGCCTTTGCCCCTCGAATCAATCTCC